CTATCGAACTGCCATCTCGAATTTTCGAAATTTTGAAAATTTGGAAAAGTATTAATTTACAATTACAAAAATATATTTTTTGATTTTTTTCAAAAGTTTTTGACTTTTCGCAAAAATCGGAATATATGTGGTAGAACACACACTGATGATTTGCAAGTTTTAGCCCAATATCTTCAAAAATAGCCAAGTTATTCGCATTATTGTCAAAATTTTACAATTTTATGTTTTTCAAATCCATTTTTCAGTACGTTTTTGACGTCGTACAGCAATATAAATGGCGCCATCGTGTTTCTGAGCTCAAACTGCATCTAATAGGCACCTTTTTTGTTGAAAACTTTCATTTTCAAAATTTGACCTTTTCTGACCTGAAAGTGACCTGACCTCCGGTAAATTCAGCTGACAATGACCTCAAATGACACAGACGACACTATTTTCGAAATCTACGAGTAAAATGGACCATAAAACATGCGTCACGTGACCGATACATGATATACAATTTTCGTGACCTAGGATGACCTGGCCTTGACCTTAAAAATTCGAAGTAAAAGTTCGGTACCCTTAGGGTATCTAAGGCATCCGTCAAGGAGTGCGTAAACCAAAAATGAGCCTGATCGGACCGGCGGTCCGGCGGTCAGAGCCTAAATTGTGAACTAACAAAAATGTCGATAATTTTTACTTTGACCTGACCTTTGACGTCATCGGTGACCTCGAGGTCAATGAAAATAGGTTTCGCTCGACAGTTTTTCCAGGGCTATCAGACACCGTTTGAATTTTGACGATCTGCCCAGTAGTTTCGGAGCTAGGAGGGGGGCTCTGGAGAGCCCCCCCCCCCCCCAGTCACTCGCGTTATGGAAAATGCCCCAGTCATGCGCGGGTTAAAGACCAAATTCAAAACGTTCACGTGCATTTTGAACGTAAGCTTTTTGAATTTGGGTTTTAACTTTTTGAAAAGTGCCTAAAAAGATATAGTCCTCAGATGCCCTAACGGGCTCTTAAATTGACGAGGACCGTTTCAAACGGGAACATGACCTTCTGGTATCGTCTTGAGCCCCTAAGCGAGGGGGGAGTGATGCAACTCCCCCTAAGGTTTTTCGCAAATAACGTAAAAACGGCGGCGTATAGCGCCGCCCAAATTTGACATAGCCTCTGGGGCAACCTTTTTGCACCGATCCTGAAAATTTCAAGTTCCCGTCTTTTCAGGTCAGATCACTAGGTCACAAAAAAACGGTACAAGGTCAGGAGAAAATTGGACTAACTAGTTAGTTTAACGGCAACTAAATGAGAGTTATTCGTTGATAGCGTGGGTGCTATGGCACGTAGCGCTACCAAATTTCAGACACGACTTGGGGCATCTATTTATCACTTGAACAGGGAGTTTTAGGTTCCAGTGACCTGACGTCAGGTCAAAAGGTCACAAAAACCGGTATATTGTCAAAATGGCACTGAAAATGCACTTAGGTATTTTGTTAATGGAAACTAGAGGTCTTCATCGATTTGATTCAAACTTGCAGAATATGCTAAGGTCACCGAGTGCCATCATATGCATCCCAGATTTTCAAATTTGGTTGACCTGGGTCCTGAGATCATCTAGAGGTCATGACAATTTTTGAGTAAATTTGCCCGAATGTGTAAAGATAAGAGATTTGTGCTTTCTTTTAACGTTTTTGTGTTGCACTACCAGTACCTTGATTTACATCTACTTGGTGTTTGCAAGCTACAAGAACGCTTGGGTCGGGTCAACTGAGGTCAACTAAGGTCAAACTACCTTTTTGCTAATAACTTGGCACACAATGAGACTAGAGCTTCAAAAGCGGTGTCGTTGTGTTCCTTATGATCAGGCGGTTCGAATTAAATGCGGCATGATGCATTTTGATTAAGTTAAACTTAATTAATAACTTTAAGAATTTGCTTAATTTTTAAGAACATTTTCAGTTCACTTAAATTGGTAACTAAGCATATCATTCGATGCGCACGGACATCCACAGTTCACTGCTGCTTTTATTTTTTGCTCTATCTATACTAGATAAAAAGTTATAGGCGAAAAGCTTTTGACATGTCTTAGCGAAATTTTTGCACTTATACCCCCCCCCCCCCTAAATATTGACCTAGAGCCACCAAATTTTCACAGGGGCGAGATCCCCTATGGACCCACCTATTTGGCGTTTCTAAGAGCCATAGGAGCCAATCGCCGAGGGGGGGGTCGTATCAACCGCCCCCCCCCCCCCCTCGCCGTCCATGTTATGGAAAAGGCCCTCGCCTGGCGAGGGTTAGTGTTCTCCGACTGGCAGATGAACGACCCTCTCGACTCAGACCAGTGCCGGTCCTTTTAAAGGGAATAGTTCACTTTCAACGAAATTAGTTTTTTGCAATGAACTTATGATTTTTAATTCTCAAAATGATCAGCAAAAAAAAACTTTCATAAAAATATTTTCTATATTTTAATATAGGAAGAACTATTCAGTTTTAAAAAAGGGAAATGACCCCTGCAAGGCACACATTCCTCAGCAAGGCACCTTTTTTCGGGACGAGAAATAGAATATCTTTGCCTAAGGTGATCGTTGGACCGTAAAAACTCCTGATTTATGCTCGTCTCAGCTCAAGCTACGGTACTGCTATTTCAGTTCAAAACCCCATGTTAAAAGCGAACTATTTCCTTGAAGCAATGTCACACAGCAGGCTCCCGCAACGTCAGACTTATATTCGCCCTCACTGAGAAAGGTATCAGCTATGCCTCCCAACCGCCTAGGGCTGTAGTACGCGACGATAGAAGCACGAGACATGAATAACTATAAATAGAGATATTCTGACCCGTCCAATTCGGCTCATGGCCCATGAAAGCATGAAATCGGGGGCATCAGCCGTCAGCCGTCAAATCGCCAGCCTTCGTCGGCAGGGGCTAAAGGTGCACTTAAAACCTACCAAGCAATGTAAGCATCCGGCAGAAGGCCCATCCAATACCAGTATGCTATATGTAGGTACCACATAAGTATAGAAGAGAGCTGTTGTGAAAACAGAGATACCTACTGAATACATTGTTGACTCTGCGGAGCCGCCATCTGCTCCACGAGTCACGTGGCAATATCGACTGGCGTATTTACCTCCCAGTTCCCACAATACCATGATGGTTCGATGGACGTCAGGGCGGCATATGGCGAGCGCCGAGCGTGGAAAATCCTTGGCCAGCTCGTTATCCACAGCCACATGCCTATCCATGACCCAGCGGAATTGAAAATGAACAAAACTGGATAGATATCATGTCAGGACAACCAATGATGGCTTACCTACATTAGTGTTACGTACGATTTTCTGTTAGTTGAACAGTGTACCGCACCTATCATAATGCAGAGAAGTATACCTAAGTCTTGCTACATTTTTTGCTGATCAATTCAGGTACATACGTCAGCATAGGTAGGTGCACAATTGACAGGCGGCTGCTGACTATGGTGACACTTTCATAACTACTCTAGTGCTAGAGGACATCATAGGCATGTATAGTATAATAGTCGACTACAGAATGATGTTCCACTTTTCACAGGCAAGCAATTATTTGCCTGGAGTGGTAGGCTATGCCGCATCACACGGACTGAGTTCACAAATTATAGCTTTGTCCCAATGCTCACAATCGACACGCTTAATTGCGTGATAAACGGCACAACTTAGCGCTCCGGTCAACTGATAGCTTCTGAGGAGTGGAACATCATCCTGTAGTAGACTATACCTACGTAACTACACTTCTCATAACTGCGTAGGTACGTTACTTGTGGTTACTACACTCCTCTCCGTATAACCGCACTGCCTTGTTGTGTGATTCCTCGAAGATCGATACGCAGCAGCATTTCCGATCTCGAGTGAGCTGCGCTGTCGGACTGGCATTTGAAGTGTTCTCCCCTGTCGGCGTGGTGGCGTGGATTTGGGCGACTGAAGTGGGCCCGGACCAGCGCGGTGGAGGGGAATTGAACTACGACCGTGGCCGCGCTGGGGCCGGGGCGGGCTGCTCCGCCAGCTAGGGGGTCGGTGTCACGATGAGCTAACAGGAAAAATCACCCGAGGTCACACAGGGTCCGATAGTCGCACATCAAGGTGAGGGAGGGGAAGGAAGCTAAGCACACGCAAAGTTTGTAGGTTTTTTTTCAACGAACAGTGAAATGCCGTCTACCGTTTGTCGCTCCCATGTGAGTAGTTTTCGCGTTCTGGGGGGGGGGGGGACGAAAAGGCCCCTCTCCCCCCGCCTGTGGCAAAACCTTTCAAAGCCTGTCCGGAATAGGGCTAGGTGACCTAGCATTTAATTTGTCACAAGTTGTGGAGAATATGTACCTTCCTATCGTGCACAGGTATGCGCCGCCGTTTATTATATGCATATGTGTTAATGGCTAGTACGAATGGCTGGAGTCATTAAGACCGCATTCTTTCGGATGTTGTAGAAAAAAAGAATATTGCGACGTGTGCTAAGGTGACGCAAAGCTCAAAGCTTAGCGTCAAGCTAGCAGGGTTGTGCTTGACTCATGAGTCGAGTCAGAAATTTGACTCTCAACTCTGACTCAAATGAGTCAGATTTGAGTCGAGTCGGATAAATTGTTGAGCTGTTGAGTTGAGTCAGAGTTGAGTCGGACAAAAATATTAGGGCGTTGAGTTGAGTCAGAGTTGAGTCAGTAAAATAACTTTTGACATTGAGTTGAGTCAAACAATTAGGAACATGAGTCAGCTGATTCAGCTTTCCAGAAACAAGCTTTTCATTCTTAACAACTTCGCCCTGGCCCTGCTGCCGGACTTTTTCACCCCCCCCCCCCGCTCAACAGCTTTTTTATCTGAGTCAATTTTGAGTCACCTCACTTGACTCAACAAAAAATTTGAGTCAAGTTTGAGTCGACTCATATTTTCATTGAGCCGCTTGAGCCATGAGTCGAGTCAAGGGAAAAAATCAGCTCCTTGTTTGAGTCAGAGTTGAGTCAGGGCTTTCTGAGGTTGAATGATGAGTCGAGTCGGCAATTTTTTTTTTTTAGTCGAGCACAACCCTGCAAGCTAGCCCGTGGCAACTGGATCTGCACCCGTTCACCCCTGCGGACCCCCTCGTACGGTGTGGGCGGCGCTCTATCTATGCACCATCGGTCGATTGGTCATGGACGGAGGTCGGACGGTCGGATACGGCCCCGGCGGACAGTGCCGATAAGATTGGCCGAGGCCGATCGGAGCCGCTGCTCGGTGCCATTCGTCCAACTGGGGCCCGCGCTGCTGCTGCCGCTACCCATCATCAGGCCGAACAGGTCAGTCACACTGCTGTGTACACGATTCACATTGCACGACACTCAGAGAGCAGACAGGATCCTTCTCCATCCTAACGACAATAAGACCGAAAAAGTAGTGACTTGGGATTCGAGCTGGTAGTGGGACGATAAAAGGTTAATTTCTTATTCACCAAAAACATACCTATAACCAAACTATTTGTGACATCTATGATATTATGTATCCGCCTGACCTGCTCATGATATGCATTTGGGAGCTTAGAATGACTTATTATTCAACATAAGCTCAGCAAGATAAATTTACAAAGGAAATGCGCACGACCATTTAAAAAGAATTAGGAATTAGTATCGTTTTCCTCATACTTGACGTAGCTTTGTGTTGTGAAAAATAAATGAGCGCGTTACCTACTTGCCACGAGACTAAGGGATTGGAATCACAATAGGTACCACTCTTAATTTCTTACGTCATTAAGCGATATCTGATGTCAGGCCAGTGGCGGCGGAATAGGGGGTGCAGGGGGTGCAGCTGCACCCCCATCGAAAAACATGGGGGTGCAAACATATCTTTTTGCACCCCCAAAATCCGTACAAGGGGCCCGTCGCACCATCCAATACATTTTCTCCTGAAAACCAGTGATCGGGAAACGAACACTGATGTGGAGTCATCCGGGATGTCCAATTATGGTCAGGAGCGCCCCATGCTAGTCTTTGGGGCCCCCACACCCGCTAGAAGTGTCCCGAGCCGCGTTTGGTGCTCCATGCGGCATCTGAGGGCCCCACGACGGCCTCAGAGGGCCCTTTTATGACGATCTCTGAGGGCTCCCCTCCCACGACCTCTGTCCCCTGGGGCCCTACAACGGCCACTAAGAGCCCTCATGACGACCGCTGAGGGTCCTACAGACTCCAGGGCCCTAAGGGGACTCCAGGGGCCACGCTGGCCTCTGAGGGCCCTTACGATGATCTCTGAGGGCTCTCACGACGTACCCTGTCCCCTGGGGCCCTATAACGACCACTAAGGGCCCTCATGACAACCGCTGAGGGTCCCACAGGACTCCAGGGGCCCCGCTGGCCTCTGAGGGCCTCTACGACGGTCGCTGAGGGCCCTTGTGACGGCCCTAGACCCACACAATTCTGAGGGCCCATTTGGCTTCAGACGGCCCAGCGACGGCCTCTGAGGGCCCCAACACAACCAGGCTGCAGGCCGCAGGGGCTATGCTGGCATCTGAGGGCCCTGCAACGGTCTATTGAGGGCCCTAACGATGGCCTCTAGCGGTCTTAATAAGGCCTCTGAGAACCCTGCAAGGTATCTGAGGGCCCATGAAGACCCTCACTATGGCCAAGGACCCTCATGACGACCTCTGATGATCCTCTCGAAAGCTTCTAAGGGCCCTCGCCCCTCACAACTTCTGAGGACCCCAGGACGGTCCCTGAGGGGTTGAGAGCCCTTTCTCAGGCCCTCAACCCCTAAGGGTTCTCAGGCCCCCCCTCAGGATTCTCAGGCCCCATGTCGGCTTGTTGAGTCACTTTATCTGCTCTTGGTGCCCCGTCGCCGGCCTCTGAGAGTCTCAATGTCGGAACTTATGGGGCCATGGGCCCTACACCGGCTTTTATGGCCCCTGCCCCCTACATCGACTCTTGGGACTCATGACCCATGAAATGTGGGTCTAAGCGGCTTCTAAAAATCCCCATGCTGGTGCTAGTAGCCGCCAGCCGAATATTTGGGCTCACACGCGAGCTCCTGGGACCCCGTGCGTACCCGAGGGGTCTACCTGCCTCTAAGACCCCACACATACTTTTGGGACTCAAACGCTTGCCCCTGAAGGTCCCACTGAGACCCCTTTCCTCTATTCAGTCCTCCATACCGGCTCTTTAGGCTAAACATCGACTCCTGTGGCCTCCATACCGGCTTTTGAGGGCCTCCATGCAGGCTTTTTTGGGGTCCGATGCCGGTTTCTGAGAGCCCTCAAAAGACTTTCGAGCCTATACTGCCTTCTGGAACCTTTCAGCAACTTTCAAGGGACCGACCCTGGCCGGAGGGCTCATTCAGTCTGGGAAGTCATGTAGGTCTCTGGAGGAGTCTCTATGTGGTCGGTTTCCAAGGGGCTTCTAAACACGGTCTTCTTGGAACGGTCTCGTAGGGCCTTCAGTGGTCCACTGTGGATCCAGAAAAGTGGTTTGAGACGCTGCGGGTGGTGGCTAGACTAAAATAATAGCCGATAAAAAACTAGCTGCATTTGCTTCTTTATGCTTTCATTATTTGAGATAGGTAGGTAGGTACAGTCTGTCTTAAAAGTACCGCGCAAAGTGACGGTGGATCCACCAAGCCTGACTGAGAAAGGGCCTGTTTTAATTTAAAAGTCACCGACCAATTGACCTAGGGAATGGACAAGGATGTCAATTGCTTCGGTGACCCAAATTTAGCAGGCCCTTGCTCAGTCAGGCTCGATGGATCCACCGTCACTTTGCGCGGTACTTTTAAGACAGACTGTACACTGCAATTTCAAACCTTTTACAGAACTTGTGTGTATGGGGATAGTTTTCCAAAATCTTCGTTTTTCATAAATCAATAATAATCACTCAAAAAAGCGAAGGGGGGCCCAAAACTTCCAGAGGGGCCCCTTGTGAAAACTTTGCACCCCCATCCAAAATTACCTTCCGCCGCCACTGTGTCAGGCCATTTTTTCGTTCAGTCTTTTCCATCCAAGCGCGCTAAACTGGGAAAGGGGTGATATCACATGTGCTAACTCCTGAACCGTTACCCGCAGAGAGTTGAGAAAGGCAGCAATTAAAAGCGCTCCATAAGCTAAGTGTAATGGTACTTATATACCTAGTTACTTTTAATCTATCGTAAAGCTTATACCTGACTTCGATGTCAGGTCGAATGTCACAACTGGCAACTTTAGTCACATAACCTTTACATTTACATGCAGTTACATTCACAAAACTATTACATTTGAAGCGTTTTCTCGTTAATTCATCTTTACCAAAACCTTTACATTTGGAACGTTTTCTCGTTCATTGATCTTCACCAAGTTCAATGCAAATAGTTCAATACGGTTCACACCAAGGCTGCAGAATCAGTGGCAGTCCACTAAAGGCCTGGCTACACTATGCGTTTTCTTCGTGCGTTTTTTGCGTGTTTGCGTGTTTTGCGTGATATCGTTCTAGAAAAAAGAACGATATTACGTTTTTGTGATGTTTTTTCACCTTAAATTTTAGTTACATAAGAGTTATATTAGCTTTTGTATATAACCAAAGTAAAAATTATATTGTTTATAACTTTTTTCCTAGAACGATATTACGCAAAACACGCAAACCTGCAAAAACGCACGCAGAAAACGCATAGTGTAGCCAGGCCTTAAGAGGTCGCACTGCCTTTTTTTCCCAAAATTATTTGGCATAGCGTCAGTAACGCGTCTGCAGGCAGGCATAGGTAGGTATTATTCACCAAGGCTGCTCAAATTTCATTAGGTGACGGACAATTAATGCGAAACGGCACTCGAGGTTTCCGCCAGCTATTTTCCAACACTTTCAGTTTTTAAAAATAAGTGACACGACATGCCCCAAAAAGGCATGAGAAATCAGTGCCCAAGTGCAAGAACAACTAAGTGAGCAACTATAATAAAGCATCATATCGAGAGAGCCAAGAAGCAAACTGCATGGGAGTTTCCTCATTCAATTATCTAACTAGCTATCATTCATCAGCCTAAGAATAATTTTGTCAGTACCTTCATGCTGCTAAATATCACCAACATCCCGTCCCGTTATTTTTGACGAGACGACTTCACCTTCGCTTGTCGTGATCGACGTATTTCTCGACAGCCAAATAGCGCCAATAGTGCTATCGTTTAGATAGGCGCATTGTCTGATGAATGAATAAACGCGCTTGAGCTATACTCGTATATTGGTGAAAGGCTTCCTAATGGCTTTCCAATATCGTGCATATTGAGATGGATGAAAATAAAATTAGCGACAAATTCGAATTCAGAGGTACAATAAATCCTCATTTAGACATTTTGCGGCACCCAATACTAGACAATGACAGCAGCGTGTCGGTCATTATGGGTCACTCGGGGTTAATGAGTTTGGATGTTCAACAACATGATACAATAAATTGATTGCATCTTTTTTGAAAGAATCGAATCAATTTTCGCTATTTCTGTACGAATCTACTTTACAGTCTATAATAAAATCAGTTTTGCATCCGTTTCCTTTAGTTTATACACGGTATGAACATATACGTCGGTCCAAAGTATACCTAAACCGATAGCCGACGCTATAAAGCACATGGTAACACTCCCGAACTATAAAAGAACTTGATCTGGATGCAGCGATGACCATTCTATTAAAACGATAGAGCATAAAAAATTGAGACAATGAAAAGGGTGCTCGTAAGAAGAAAGAAAGCTAAGGAAATAGCATTCACGGTGGGTCATCAATAATTTTTTTTTAGGGACTGAGCTGTCAATCAAGGACGCCAATTCTCGAATCCACTTCAAGACCACGAGGTCGCCTTAGTCACGGGATAACCATTTCAAGGGCTCCCGAAGACAATTGTGATTGCAAAACCAAACTCCGCCATAGCCAAATGTCTTATCTTTATCTAAAACTCACGGACTAAATCTCACCATTTCATAAGACGCAGTTATCAGTGCTCTCAAGTCTCAAGTCCACTTAAGACACGGCATTGACTTTAAAGAATGGGAACATCGCAAGTCTTTGTTCTTTGCACACAATCCATCAAACGGAAATATTCAAGAACAACGGATTCCCTGTCAGTTAACAGCCTACAGTAGCTTATCGAGCAGCTTCCGAGTTACAGGTGCGGCTCCGGCGACTCCCGCAATGTACGAGTATAGTTACCACGGTGACTATAAATAATAGTTACTACCAAGTTACTACTCAATACGTATGCCAGAAAGCAGCAGGAAGCGCAGATTCGTGAATCACGCCGATCAACTTGACTCAGTGGACTGTATAACTGTGTGTGTGTTGACGTCTCGCATCATTTGGTGTGGCGACCGGGGCCTGACAGGATATAGGTTGATATGGTAATGAGGCGAAATTGGGAATTTATAATATAAGAAGTGGATGCTATATGAATGGATATAATTTTGGATCAAGGTTTAAGAGCACTCTTTTCAGAGCGACAAAGGAACCCTCTTTACAGAGAGCATGTTAAGACCTAAAAAGGTATGCAGAGCCCTCTTTTCAGACAGACAAAGGAACCCTCTTTACAGAGAGCATGTTAAGACCTAAAAGGGTATGCAGAGCCCTCTTTTCAGAGAGACAAAGGAACCCTCTTTGCAGAGAGCATGTTAAGACCTAAATATAGAGCCCTCTTTACAGAGAGACAAAGGAACCCTCTTTACAGAGAGCAAGAGGTATTAGGAAAATAAGGAATCAGATAGGAATGATAAGTAGACCCGGTCACCGTGAAATAGAAGACTGTGCGAACTGACTGTGTGCCACTCTCCCCGTGCTCTTATCCGCCGCTGCACTCCACTATTCACCATTCACAAACACAAGATTCTTCCGAACTGGTGAGTATTGCAGATGGCGAATAGGCGATGACAACACAGTATCACTGACAAGAAGAGTTGGCCAGAGAGAGCGAGGCAGTGCTCTCTCGGCGCCGAAAAGTAAAGAAGTGAGAGCGAGGGTTGCTCCCGTCCCGTTTATGTACTGGGTCGGGAGGACACAGATGGCGACGGAAGTAATGAAATAACAAAGAAGCTACACACTACCCGGCGTCCTGGTAACCCTACCACGCGGTCGGCACATGTCGGCATAACGGCTCCGGCCCGCCGGGGACACAGTTCCACGTGCGACGCCACACCAGCCCACCCCCTCCCCCCGGGTCAGTCCCTCCGGTAACAGCGCATCCTTTCATAAAAAACTGCAGCTGTAGGACACGGTCGCAGGCCGGAGCGTCCCGTCACCCGATCACTGCCATAAAGTCTCTCGCGGACGGCCCATCTGCCGGCGGCGTGGCAGGGGGATGGGGGCGGCGGCGGCGCGGAGCGGCGCCGGCCGGGATCACGAATCGGCCCGGCCCGGCAGCTACGATCAGAGCCGAAATGAGCCGCAACACCAACTACCTAGTGCAGTTTGTCGGCAACACTAGGTTTACGGTCATTATTTCAGACTTCACCATTAAATCTAAAGCATACGGCAGGCAATGGGGGGGGGGGAGTTATTCTTGGATAATTGTTTTTCACAGCGCGAGATGAGCTAGTTTTGCTGTCTTGTCTCTCCCAGCACTCCGTCCGAGGCTCCTAAGTTTAGGAACTCGAACGAAACCAAGCGTTCCTCGACTCCACATGATCACAACCTTCGTCCCCACGCATGAAAACTTTCCTATTAGAAGCCCTTATTGTAGGCGTCACTGAATCCTAATTACTATTCTGGGAAACCATTAACATCTTAATCAGTATTTCACGATTTCTTGTTACAGTATAAAGTAGTTAAACGGATTTAGAAAGAAATCACAAAAATATTATTTAAATATGAGCAACATAATCACGCAACCGTCTGTCGCGATTTATCAACTTCCTAGCCTGCAGCCAGCCTTGTTAAAACTATGTTAAAACTGCATCTCTGGATGCGTCAGGACCGTTTCTTCCCTACCAGCCGCCTTGTGACCTGCGCTCGCGCCTCGCTCCGCAGAGCCAGTCACCATGACGGCCAAGAACTCTGTGAGCTCGTCCGGCAGTCTGATGGAGGCGGCGGCGGCGGCGCAGAAGGGGCTCAGTCCGCTGGTTGCCGCCATCTTCATCACCGGCATGGTGGCCGGCAGCGGCATGCTGGCGCTCGCCAACGCCGTCAGACTCACAGGTCAGCCTGCTCAGTGATGTGCGTCCACCCCAAACACACACGACACACTTAGCTGCCAAGGTACATACAAGATGGATACCTGCGTCCCACATCTTGTGAATAAATAGCAAAGAACTCAGTGTGCGGTGAATCGTGTTAGCTACAGTGTGTGCAAGCTACGTGTTAGTTACCTATGTTACAAGAAAAATTGTGCGTAAGCATCTTAACAACGCCACTTTTAATAACGGAATAATAACAAGTTAAATGGAAAAATTTAAAATACCCATCCAAATAGCGAGCATATTTTGACTTACAAATATAATCCTTCAGACCGACTAACAAAGTCACCGGTCAAGGCCGTCCAAAGCAAATCGAATATTGAATAGCCGGGTATAGCGTATTAAGTAACAATCAACAGTCAAGCTTTCACAAATATGTACATACATCAAAGTCCCAATACATGGACAAGGACGCTGGTACAGCCACACAAAAACGCCGCTTATTAAGCGGCTTAAACGTGGACGTTACGCTGGCATCAGCGCACACGCTATCGGCACATATACGGCGTCCACGTTTACAGTTAATTATCTGAGTACACTCCTCTCTAGATCGTATAGTATCGCTCTTCAATGTCGCATCTCGGCCACATCAAACGATTCGGTCAAGTCTTTGGACATTTCTCTCCGTAAGTCGTATCTTATTTATCTTGTGTGTGAACAAAGCCACCTTTTGAGGGTGACAGCGAATAGCGACGATAAGGTGGTAAGCGATAAAAGTGAAAAACTAACTACTTCTTAGAGCTATAAATTAATGGCGTCGGTCTAAATCCATCCAACAGACATTTTATTTCATTTATCGATCCCCTGATAAGTGACAGCTGATATGGTACAGAGCCCAACAGAAAGAAATCCAGAAGAAATCCAGGGAAAAATCCGAATCACTCGCAAGTCGCAACCATTTTACATTCAATACCTGAGCTGCCAAGAAATTTGACGCATGTTAGAAAACGTACTTCATCCCGCGCATGCGGAAGTGGGCGGATATCCGTCTCTCAGAGTTTACCAAAAAGCGAAAAACGGCGCCAAATGTAGCATTGTTCCGATATTTGCTGCGCACAGTTACTAACAGCTTGACGCCACGCAACATAAAAGTCACCAGAGGCATTACGTCTATTTTATTTTTAGCACCTCACCGTAACCACAGTTGATGATATTTCACGATTCTATCTATATACGGCCTTGGATTCTATTCATCAGACTGTCGCAGTGAATGGAATCCGACTTGGTGTGTTGACATGGTGCTGCTGGCTTGGTAGCCACACACTTTCTGCACTGTTTTGATGGGCTGGCCAGGGATTCCTGCAGGAACGCTGATGCATTTCAGTGCTAGCCACAGTACACACATCTTTCCCCACGGTGTTTGAGGGGTTTGGAGATACTGCTGCGTTGCCGTGGTAACCACTCCCACTCCCCGCAGGCGTGATCGGCCTGGTGATGCTGCTGTACTTTGGCGTCAACTCGGCTTTCTGCGGCTACACTCTGTCGCGGTGCTGGCTGATCGTCGAGTCGCGCTACCCGGAACTGCAGGAACAAGTGCGAGCTCCCTACCCAGAGATCGCCTACAGGGCCTTCGGAAACCCACTCAAGTACGTTGACACGGGCCATTAACCGGTTCATGAAAGGCCATCAGTCGCTTGTGATTGTGAAACATGAACTATTACATGAGTTCATCACGAGAGCCCGGTTATCAAGCGAGGACACCAATCTGATCCTGCTCGATAAAGCCTCATCCATCCTCCGATAAGCTGAATGATGCGCTCACTGACACTCGTGCACCTTGACTGAAGGCTGTCACTTGAAGGAGCTAGGATTACCTTACGTGACGTGACGTGTGACGTTGTCAAGTCATAAAATTGCCTCGCTCACTCTGTTAAGCTGCAAATTAATGCATCTTCACTTTTAGCCTCCATATGCGGAACAATACATCCCGCTTTTTATGCGCAATAATGTTCATCTCATTCGCATCCATCACTAAGATGTCGGGCACTTGTTCAGCCACACGCTGGCTCGTCGATCCGTTACTCACCGCCGGCCCGGCTTATCCTCCACCGCGCAGATATCTGGCCTCGGTGGCCATCTTCATCAACCAGTTCGGCTCTGGCGTGGTGTACGTGCTGCTGTCGGCTGAGCTCATCCGCGACCTGGTGCAGTCGGCCGGCTTCGACATGGTCGAGTGCTACTGGATCCTCGTCATCGCCGCCATCCTCACGCCGTGCACCTTCCTCGGATCGCCCAAGGACTTCTGGTGAGTGATCACACTTCTGGCGAGTGATCAGTGATCACACTTCTGGTGAGTGATCAGTCACAGTCTCGAACTTCACTCTCTAGCTGATCAGAAACTGGCTCAAAGCTGTTTGTACCACGTAGAAATTCTGATCAAATTAATGGAACTGATGAGTTGAAGATATGGTGTTCAACTGATATATGGTGTTTAATTAATGGAACTGATGAGTTGCTGAGAACAATTTAGTGGCCTTTTTGACAACGGTTGCAATGCTTTAGCATCATACTGTAACTGTTGCGAAACCCACTACCATCTTCAGATCACGGTGTGGGCAAACTGAAACTACGTCGTTTGGCGAAAATCCGAACGAAGGTGCTGCATTGCCGTTTCATACGTTCTCGTAACCATGATCGCTACTCTACTTCGGAAATTAATTTTTAAGAATTGCTTGCCCCACTTCATGAAAATCCCGACCACTCTACCTTAGTCACATCCCGTTCTGTCACTGACGCAGGTTCATCGGCGTCACGGCCCTGGTTTCCACGATGCTCGCCTGGCTATGCATCATCATCCACCTGGGAATGTACTACGACGAGACGGTCGATAAGGCCGAGCACACGTCGCCCACCTTCAAGACGCTGTTCCTGGGCATGGCGACGATCCTGTTCGCCTTCGGTGGTGCCTCCTCGTTCCCGACCATCCAGAATGACATGGCTGACCGTACCAAGTTCGGTCGCAGCGTGCTCTTCGGATACATCGGTGAGCGATTGTTTAAAGGAGCTACCTCTACGACAAGCTGCAACGCTGAATTAAAGTTCCTAGTTGGTGTTGGTAAAGACTTAAGAATGATTCAATAAAAAACTAGCGTGCGCAGGGTTTGCAGAAGTGGAAAAAAAACATTCCAAATCACGCAGCGTAAGGAAGTCGCTATTGCATCACCAGTAAGTAGGCTCACCAACAATGACTGCTGACGTCGTCTCTCCGTCTCCGGCAGGCCTGATCTGCATGTACTTTCCGATGACGCTTCTCGGCTACCTGGCGCTGGGCGACCAGCTGGAGGCTGACCTCATCAACTCGCTCTACCCCAACAGCTTCTTCAAGAGCGCCGCCCAGGTGCTGTTCATGCTGAACCTGACGACGTCTCTGGTGAGCGTCATCAGCCCCGTCTACCAGCAGCTGGAGGACAGCATCGGCATCCCTTCCGGTGAGCGGGCGCCAACAGCTCCCCGAAGAGTCGCAGCGCTGGTTAGGTGCACGTTAGTGGGATAGCAGCAACGTTAAAGACATGGGAACGTTGGGGGACAACTAAATGGACGATGTTTAAGTTCATCTGTCATTCTTCAGGCATTTGGGCTCCTTTTATAGTCATCTAACTCGGATTCCTATTTTATTCTACAGACTTCAACGTGCGTCGGGTGCTGTTCCGGACGGCTATGATGGTACTGAACGTGCTGATTGGAGAGACGGTGCCCAGCTTCGGCAAGATCCTGAACCTGATCGGCGGCAGCACGCTCACGCTGATGACGTTCATCCTGCCACCCATCATGTACCTAAGGCTGACGTCGATGCCGGCCACTGATGGCGGCAAGTGGGAGAAAATGTGAGTAGCCAAGAGAACATTTCTGATTTCGGTACTTTGCAGCCTTATTATATGGGATTTATCATCACCTCATATCATAAAGATTTCTTCCCCTTCCACTGGAGCCTTGAGCAGCAGCAGCGAGAGGTCAAATCACTTAACAAGATATTTGGTCTCCCATGATGCATGCATGTTGTACAACCATAGCTTACTGGTAAAGACATTTTATTTCATGACGGACGTGACGTAGGTATGGTGTATCACCTCTCCCACTGACTCGTGAGGTCGTGATCTGTTTCAGTGAGGTGCCCCTCTGGGAGAAGGTCCTGCTCGGGGAGATCATCCTGATCGCCACGACCGGCGGCATCGCGGCCACGTACTCAGCAGTGGCGGACATCCTCGACCCGACTTCGTTCGAGAGCTCCTGCTTCATCAGCGTATAGCCGACGGCTGCCCCATCGGGCGACCGGCAGCTGCGCAACGTCGCCTTCATCATCACATTAACGTCATTCATCATCCATCAAGTTCCTTCACAGCCGGTTTTACGAAAGGGGAGCAGAACCGCTTTAGTCAGAGCCTTCGAGACGATGGAGTGCCCGTGGCGAGGTGGCCCCCGCAGCGAGGAGACGCAAGTGGCCCCGGCGGGAACGAGAAGTGTCAACAGCAAAGCGACGAGCCGACGACGGGAAGAGATTCGACAACCAATCGCCTGAGGTTCAGTTCAGATGGTCCCACGGTACTGAGAACGCCAGCGGCCAGCATTCGATGTTCCGCAGCACATCACACATGGTCATCAAAAGACGGTGAAGACGGAATCTGTTTTAGCTGTCCGGGTGGTTGTTGTAATGTTTGCGTCCCCTCGATTGGTTGCTAATGGGCCGGACTTTATGGCAACTGTAACTATCTGTTGGTTGTGGAGATCGATGAAGTATGGAAACCATGACTGTTAGCTGGTTTCGAACCCAATGCCGCAACAAGACCTCTGCTCTTTTTGACTCGTGCTCAGAGTCGCGATGGTGTCAGCGAAGAGTCCCATTGAGCCTCATGCATTATCTGCCACTGCCTGGCGGTGAAACGTTTGTGTTAATTTTGTGAAACTTATGACCTGTGATCACTGATCATTTTACCATGTAGTGTCCTGCGTTTCTTTAAGTTTTCCGGGGAGGTGTTTTAGGGGAATAGTTCACCCGAAAGAAATATCATTGTAGATGAGGAATATGCTGGGAGGATGAAATGTTAAGGAAATATTTCACTCGCACAAAATAAACATATATGACCTTGAGTACCAAACTAACGTTCTGTTCCAACAGAAAAGCGAGCGTTGAAGTTCGCAGACGAGAATGAAAGGAAAATAAGGCAAGCCCAGATTTCAAGCTGATCATGATAAAATAATAAGCAAAGACAACTTGCTGGCTTTGAATGTAAGTCCTAATTTAAATGCCAAATAATGCATGCAACACCAATGTTTCAATTGGGGATCACACAACCGAAGGCGTTCTGAACCTCAGATTTTAGGAAAATTATGAAAGGCTTCATGTTCGGTTTGAATCCGTAGAAGGTGTGCTGTTTACTCGCATTGATGTACGTACCTATGGCTATTTCGACTTGATTGCTAAAAATGAACACAAATGAATCATGAATGCTAAGATTTAAGAAATCGTTGTTTCGTACCACCAAGCTGCGACAGAAACCGTTAAGGCAGGAACAGAAGTGCCGACGGCCAAAGTTTTACTATTCAACATACCAATCAACGACTGCCGACGACAATCCTTTTTTCGATCCTACCCGGCGGATAGGATCTCTCACTGTAACAACCAGTGATGAATGACTGTGACCAGGGCTGCGGAGTCGATGGATTTACGGCGACTCCGACTCCGACTCCGACTCCGGCTTTCAAAAACCAACTCCGACTCCGACTCCGACTCCGGGCAGAAATGTCGACTCCGATCGACTCCAACTCCCCACTCCGACTCCGCACACCTGGCAGGGCTGCAGAGTCGACAGATTTTCGGTGACTCCGACTCCGACTCCGGCTGGGGTTTCCAATATCGACTCCGACTCCGACTCCGACTCCGGTCACAACTGTCGACTCCGACCGACTCCGACTCCGACTCCGACTCCGACTCCGCAGCCCTGACTGTGACAATCAAATCAAGGCCCTATAAATCAAATTATCGATGCCGTCATTAGGTATCTGGTAATTCAGTGTCAATTTCACCGTTCACGTCGACCCGTCTAAACCAACGTATCGAGTAAGTAGAGTTATATGACTATTCTAACTCGTACCCCGAGGACTATTGCCGGATCCTGCCAACCGTAAGGCCGTGAGGGGGCTCCCCCCACCCCCAAGATCTCGGAAAGCATAGAAATAAAGACTCGGAAAGGTACCACCCGATTTTCAAAATCCAAATTCCAAACGATGTACGATAGCCCCACGTGGAACTGGAAACTATCATGTGACTAAGGGTCTGTTCCAGCGCCTCCAGAAACCTCCAGAAAGCTCCAGAAAGCTCTAGAATCCTCCAGAGAGCGTTCCAGCGCCTCCAGAAAGCTCCAGAAAGCTCTCGCCAAAGCTCCAGAAACCTCCAGTAGCCTCCAGAGAGTTGGGAGGTCCAAATTTCTCTGGAGGCTCTGGTCTACAATTATGGCGCACATGTGACAATCACGAATGTAAACAAAGGACTTTTGACTGATTATTTTACAACTTGAATGCAAAGAAAATTACATTGCTATAATTTTGTTAATCTTTCTTTATTAAATTGAAAACAAATTTTGCGTTTCAAGAGAGAACAATCGTCATTCTTTTGGTATCTGTGATGCTAATCTCCAGAAATCTCCAGATTGCGTTCCAGCGCCTCCAGTGAAACCTCTGGTAGAGCCTCCAGTCAAGAATTTCTACTGGAGGCGCTGGAACAGGCCCTAATAAATTCGATTGGCCTCGAATTAGATGCAACCAATGACGTTACACGTCAGGTCAAAGGTCGCGTTTCTGACCGTTTACACGCCTTCTACATAAGAAACATGTTATTAAATCGAGTAAAAGGCATGTTATCGAAAACATCATGTTCATTTAACACATACCTATTTTGCTAAATGAGGTCCTTTCACCAGGTCAGGTCACAGAGGTCAGGTCACTAAGGGTTACAATGGGTCTGTTCCAGTCGCACTTCCTAACACCTCTAAACTCCTCCAAGAGCAAGATATAGAGGAGGTTGGAGCAGGGCCCTCCTTGACTTTGTAGGGGCTAGAAGGAAGCAATCTTGGAGGAGTTAGAGGTGTTAGGAAGTGCGACTGGAACAGACCCAATATCATCCCAACTATACTAGGGCCATGGGGGCCGTGTAATGCATGTTTTAATTTTTATGGTTAGTTTTAGGTACATTCAATTTCAATGATGTGGGCAGGGGTGTCGATTTTTCAAAATGGTTGGGGGTGCTCAACCCCTGCACCGGGTGAAAGATTGCAGCTTTGCCATGGGGCACAACCGTGCAAGGCATGGTTGGGTATCCCCATAAGGTACTGATAATCACGGGATTTCCCCCCCCCCCCATCAGGTTCAGGGGCCCATCGGGTTATTCGGGCCTGAGGGGCCCTGCGGCGCCAATTGGCCGCTGAGGGTCCACGTTGGCTATATTTAGACTCAGAAGGGCCCCACAGGGCTCGTAAGAACAACTCATGGGCCCACAAGTACCAACATTAAGATCTCCATAAGGGCCCCAAGCCAGCCTCTGAGGGCCACTTGCCGGCCTCTGGGGGTCTTAACCGGCCTATAGGGGGCCAGCTCTAGGAGCTGCACACCCGCCTATAATGGCCCCACACCCATTTCTCTGAGGGCCCATATAACGGCGACTGTAAGGGCCCTCACCGGCGCCCCTGAGCGCCACACCGGCGTCCCTGAGGGCCCCACACCCCTAACTCTGAGGCCCTACACCAATGCCTTTAAAAACCCTACATGGGCGGTTCTGAGGGCCATTGTCAGTTACCAGCGACCCTGACGGCTCACACAAGTGACTCGGAGGGTCCCAGCGGCGTCTGAGCGCACCATGCCAGTCTCTGAGAACCCAACAAGGCTCCTGAAGGCACCGGTGACCTCTTGATATCGTTTTGTCCGCCTATGAAGGGTCCGTTCCGTAACAGCAGTTCTGAGGGCCCCACGCGCGCCTGTGATGGCCCTAAACCAGTGTCTCTGAGAGCCCGCACAACGGCGCCTGTGAGGGCCGTCACCGGCGACTGCGAAGCCCCCTCACCGGCGCCTCCAGTCCGAGGGCCCCACATTGCCATATCTGAGGGCCCCACACTAGTGCCTCTTAAGGCCCTATATCGGCGGCTCTGAGGGCCCAGCATCGTAGCTTCTGAAGGCCCCACTAGTGCGCATGTGACGGCCACCCTGCCACCGGTGACATTTGAAGGCCCCACACCGGCGACTCTGAGGGCCCCATCGGCGTCTGAGTCCGTTCCGGTCTCTAAAGACGACCCCACAGGGTTTCTGAAGGTACCACCGGCCTCTGATGGCCCTTTGCCGGCCTCTGAGGGCCCGTCGCCGGTCTCTGGAGCCCCCTGCCGGCTTGTAAAGGGTACGCACCAGCAGCTCTAAGAGTCCGACACCCGTGTACGACGGACCCACACAAGTGTCTTTGCAATTTAACGTCTTTTTTCGCCCTTCTTCTTAAAACTAACTTTTCTTTTCTTTACATTTTTATTTCATGCCTTGTAAATTGCGTAATTGTTTTATTTTTATTTTTGTAGTGAAAGACTGTGGAACAATCATTTTCCTCAAGCAGAGTTAGTGGGAGTTATTGAGGGACAAAATCATTGGGGGTGCCCGGAAAACCATTGGGGGTGCTCATTTGAGCATTGGGGGTGCTGCAGCACCCCCAAAGGTATACAAATCGACACCCATGGATGTGGGTTTGGCGACCATTGGGGCTAGCTTATGACACATTCTGGCGAAGGTCAGGTCAGGGCCCCGGCCAAGGTCAAGGTCAGGTGAAAGGGTCAAATTTCAAAATTGATATTTTCATAAAAAAGTGCTTAGATCATGGGTGTGGATTTCCGCCGAGTTGGGGGCGCCCGAGCTCCCCGAATTCCACACCGGCTCGACCGGCTTGGCTTTAGAGCCGTAACAGACGGCGCGGGTCTTGACGCGGGTCAAGGTCACCGCTAGGGCGGCGGCGGATTTGCTGCGCCCGGGCGCCCCGGGCACCCCCAACTCGGTCGGCAGCGTCGGCGGAAAACCACACCCATAGCTCACATTCGATGTATTTATATACACTGTGATTCGATGTAGCTCGTCGTTCGATGTTAGCTCGTCGTTATTTTGCACCATGCGGTCTAGAAGCTAGAACGGCTAAAAATGGTGAAAAGTGTCTCCCGTCCCATGTCGATCCAGACTCCACTTGCCTGTTAGATGTTAAGTTGTCCTGCATACCTATATCTTCATTTATCTAATGGCGAGGGTTTTAATCCAATAAATATAACACAAATAATTCGCGCGATGCCACAGGATACAATTCAAACCAAAATTCCCGCCAAAAAGTGGTTGCAATTTGTTACAATTTCTGCGCAACGATGACAAACCGTAGTGTTCAGATTTCTGCTAGCGTTCTGCGACACACTCTCTAAGCTGGTTTGGAGCAGCTTCATTCGCTTGCGCCGTCCAAAAGTGTTTTAACTATTTCGACAGCAGAAGTTGAAGAATGCGATTTCCAAGGATCGCAAAAAAATGTGGAAGGGTTTGTGTCGATCAAGGCCGTGTCGATTTCGTCAAGGCCCTAAAACGATTTCGTGTGTAGCAGTTCTCTCCAACCGTATAAGGTTCTCTCGTTCTTCGTGGTGTGTACTTGTAGTATCTGGCTGGCAGTTCTCTGTATTAAGTGATGTCTTCTGTTGTGCTGCTTGTCACAGATTAGGTATATTTTTTGTGCTTTAGCTGATTTTAAGGATTTTGCAGGTACCTATAATTATATAAGCTGCGGGGTATTTATATACGGTGTGGGTTTAATTTCAGGATAATTTCAGGATTCTGAGGGCCGTTCACGGGCCCTGTGTGAGGTCGGACAGTACACAGCCTCCAAGCTCCGTCCACTGCATCCCTACGTCAGCCTTCCGTCACTGCACACAGCGACCATTGTGGCTGGTCAGGACGGGCCACAGTGGAATGTCCACTGCATGCAGCCGTGACATCAGAACCATCAACCACTTACCCATCCGGCCTACCCCCCCACGCCTGCTGCACACACCGCACTGCGCACACACCACACTCAGCAGTTTGTGGTGCCCGTGAACACCCCTATAGCATTTTACTGAAAGTTGTTCAAAAGCTTTAAGTGACCATTTAAACGTAAGGCTGTATAAACTGTAGGTAGTGCTATCAGCTATGTTGGACTTAGGATCGTAGGTAATCTTATGTCAAGCATTCAAATATTTTTACATCCATAGTCCATACCTACCTATCCCTCAGAAGATAAGTTCAGTCTCCCAAACTATTAATTAAGAACAGACACCAAACAGAGATAAATTTTTCATATTTCCTGGCAGGGATTGTTGCCTCTGACGATCAAAACCAATTCACAAACTGGCTGATGCCCATTGGGTGCTCCTCAATGAAATCCTGCTATGCCACATAGATGAATAGTCAGATGTACAGGGAGCTGGATAGAAAAGCTTCTAAAGGCCTATTCAATTCCATACTTCATAAGTAAGAGTCGTGACTTAGGTGCCCAATCATTTGCTCACACTTGACTGAATAAGTCTGCTTTTGTTGATGCAATTTGGTTGTCTTAACAACTGACAAGCCTTTATTTCACCCTAAGAACTGTTTTAGCACACAAGACTCATCATTGGGTGAAAAAGTAAGCAATGTTCAGGATCAATAAATTTGAATTGGCCTAGAGAAAAACCAAAACAATCACATAAATTGCCTTCTTTTTTCATGATCTTGAAATTTATTTTGTGAATTTTTCCAGACAACAGTTATATGGCTGATCGTATTCTGTACCTATCAGCTATGATGACTGGATGTGGTCAAGGTAGGCCACAGTGGTATCACATTTTTCATGGGACAAGCATACAAGCCACAAGTCAAGACTATCGATGTCACATTTTCTTTCAATGAAAATTAGAAATATCAAATATTTCGCCATGGAATTCAAAAGTTGGCGTCACACACGGTCATCCCGCTCCATCGGTGAGATTCTGCCCCGCAGACGAAAAACACCGCCCGGGCCCGTAATGGTTAAGATGATGTTCCAGGCATCAGGCAAAGGCTGAACAGCGGCACAAATTGTCTGACAGTGTCATCTGCTTCATCGTCCCGGATTTCGCGATTTTAACTGCATTACCATTGATATGTGTAATTGTATTTTAACTTTTTCAGAACTCTGAACATGTCTGCCGACCTTGACGAGCTGGTTGCTCGTGAGCTGCAGCGTCAATATGAAGCTGAGGAGAAGCAGAGACTCGCAGACGAGGCAGCCTCTGAGAGACTGGCCCAGAAACTGGCGACCGGCAGTCACACCATGTCTGACTCTGAGGGCAGCGACTCGGGCGGCAGAGCCCCGTCCGTGGATCGTAGTAGGATATTGGTCACCCCGGTGCGGCAAAGGACACCATCCGAGGACTTCAGCAGAACCTGGGCCACTCCTGCACGGCTGCTGGTGCCGCCTGGTGGGTGCAGCAGAACCACTCCGTTACGGCAGACGCCGTCCGGGGGCTGCAGCAGGACCACCCCGATACGGCAGGGGTGCAGCCAGTCGTTGAACACCCCGGTACTACAGACCCCGTCCGATGGGCGCAGTCGATCTCCGTCAATATGGCGAACACCGGGGCAGACTACCTCTGCGTCGGTTAGCCCCCGCGGTGAGTCGCCAGCGCCGGCGAGCCCACAGCAGCCTCCAGCGGTGGCGATCCAACCACAACCTCCAGCGCCGGCGAGTAAACAGCAGCCTCCAGCGGTGGCGATCCAACCACAACCTCCAGCGATGGCGTGTAAACAGCAGCCTCCAGTGCCTGCGAGGCAACAACAGTCCCCAGCGCCGGCAAGCCCACAGCAGCAACCTCCAGCGCCGGCGAGGCAACAACAACAGCCTCCAGCGCCGGTGAGGAAACAACAACAGCAACATCCAGCGCCAGCTAGCCAACAACAACCTCCAGCGGCGGCAAAGCAACAACAGCATCCTCCAGCGCCGGCTAGCCAACAACAACCTCCAGCGCCGGCGAAGCAACAACAACAGCAACCTCCAGAGCCGGCGAGCCAACCACAGCAGCAACCTCCAGTCACGGCGGCGACCAAAAGACGCGCCTCCGTTCTGTGTGCCCCGGGGAAGCGGCGAGCTCTCCCGTCCACTCTGGGTGAAGCTAGTGCGGCGGCCACATCATCAGCAGGTCGCGGGCGTGGCTCGGCGGCGGCTACATCATCTAGAGGTCGCGGGCGCGGCGCGGCGGCGGCTACATCATCTACAGGTCGCGGGCGCGGTTCGGCGGCGGCTACATCATCTAGAGGCCGCGGGCGCGGCTCGGCGGCGGGCCGTGGCAAGCCTGCGGCGGTAGGGGAGCAGGGAGCGACTGGTAACGAAAGTGCACCGGCTGGTGTGCCTGTGTGTCCCTTTGGCGCCAAGTGTTACCGCACCGGGAACCCGGAGCACATGGCGGCGCTGTGGCATCCGGGCCGTCCGTCCGGCCAGGCCCATCAACGTGAAGCTGGTGAGTGGCGGAACTGTGGAGGGGTGTGTGCTTGCTACTCTATTGTTCCCTACTCCTTTTCGGCTTGATACGATGGTTACAGAGTTGAGTCATTTGTCTGTGTACGTCATATTTATAGTCTGGAATTAATTCATTCCATGATAATATTGTAGCTGATAATTATCTAGCGCGTTATGATCCTTTAATTTTTGCGTAAAAAGACGGTAGAGCAAGATCTCATTGAGTTCATTGCACGATAATTCTCGTCTAAAAATCGCTGTTCTTGCGTTTTAGGTGGCTCTGCGCAGAATGCTGGTGCCAGAAACGGCGCGGGTGCTTCAGGACAGCAACCGAAGCCGAGGTGCACCATCGCAGACCGGCTGCGGGAGGCCGAACCGATGTCGTTCTTCTTGACCAAGGTAACGGTTCTCCTGTAGTCGTAAGATGCTTCGTCACGTTTCTGTTGCACTCACCGTTCCCTGGCGCTAGTGTGCTCTGCCGTGTACCAGCCCTATTAGCAGTACCGATGGCTGTCACCAGGTACGCTCTGTGAAGTCCACGTGGCGGGAGAGGATGGCGGTGGGCATCGCCGAGCTGCTCGACCCCTCTCTGGGTGAGCTGCGCTCGTCGCTGCAGGTCAACTACATGGTGGACCTGGCCTGGCTCCTGGAGGCGTACACCGTGCACGGCTATCAGGACAAGCCGCTGACCGTGCTGCACGGCACGAACGGACTCATGTGAGTCCGACGACGGGGGAGAGGGCGGTCGTGATGTTTTGTCGAAAATCGCCTCTAAATTAAACGTTATCTTGAGCACTTTCCCCGTTCCTGCGATGAGCGGACACTGACAGTGGTAATCTGGAATTGAAAGGAAGGTCTCCATTTCCAGGCCTCTTAATTGATGTAAAGTAAATATGAATGAACAGTGAAATGTTCATGGACGTGGGGATGCTGGAAATATAAGGTAGGAAGGAAGACAAAAACGTATCTACATACTTTTGACTTATAAGATCTGTATGGAGTTTCGTGAATGTCAGAAAATTGATTAAATATCAGAACTCAATAACCGGCACTCGCCGTTTTCGCTATAAATAGTAATTGTGCCGGCCTTTGGCGGCCTCGGTCTTGAGTCTTCTTTAAACAAGTTGTCCCGTAAGCTCATTTTGTTGATATCTCTTAATTGCGTGTAACTAGGACTAATACGAACAATCTCTATTGCTTTTATTTACCAGTGATCCGGGCTTTCCCGGCATCATCACGCACAAGGTGAAAATGCCCATGCTGTGGGGAACTCACCACACCAAGATGATGATTTTCGAGTACACCGAGGGCATGCGCGTGGTGATTCACACGGCAAACCTGGTGGAGAGCGACTGGGAGGACCGGACGCAGGGTGAGCGCGGTTCGGTTCAGGAGAACTAAGGGAAACTAAGGGGCTGAGGAGTGATCGATCAATGTAAATGTGAGACTTCCATGAAGATACCTTACATGAAAATTGGATATGCTTTGCCACTGGTAATCGTGCATCGAATTGTCCTGTGTCTCATAACTTTATTGAAATCCGCTTCTGACTGATGTAGCCATTGTGGCCATAGCCCTGCTTATTGGTTGTCCCGCTCCATTGAGTACAGCATGAGCTCAGTGCGGTCGGCGCGCCCTGAAGTCCCAATGAATCAACAACAACCCGTCTAACCCTCGTCAGGTGTGTGGGTGTCGCCGCTGCTGCCGACGCTGCCGGCCGGCGCTCCCGACACCGCGGGCGAGTCGCCGACAGAGTTCCGTGCGCACCTGCTGTACTACCTGACCCACTACCAGCTGGACATCCTGACGCCGTGGATAGAGAGGGTCAGACGTACTGACTTCAGCGCCATTCGGTGAGCCGCGCCACCACTCCCCGCGAAACGCCCGTCTTTACCGACATTTAGCCGATGGTGTTGGGTAGGTTTCCCTTTATGTGTTTAACAGCAATTGCTTATGGAGTTTCCTTGGTTTTCTCTATTGCGTATTGAGTCGTGATGACTTTCGATCTATAAATAGCACGAGACGCACAAACACTGGGTACAGGTGGCCAATGTGTCAGGCATTGTATATTTTATGAATGAAATTTAACGGTCTCATTGATGGTTATAAATGCACGTGCTATAAGTCATTATATTATCAAAACACCTTTAGTACGGTCATGTCGGTGGTTTCCCTTCGGACGTTGTATTGTCATTGAATAGAATGTGACTATCCCCTCTGCTGCTAACCACCGATCTCCTCTCTGCCCAGTGTGTTCCTGGTAGGCTCTGTGCCGGGTCGGTTCGTCGGCCCCGAGCTGAACCGCTGGGCTCACAATCGGGTGTACGACCTTCTGAACAAGCACACGCCCCGCTGCAACTGGCAGCTGATCGTCCAGTGCTCCTCCATCGGTGAGAGACGCTGCCTGTTTGCTGACTGATAGCTGGGCCGGCTTCTGACAGCTGAGCTGGCCTGGGCGCAGACTGCTGACAGCTGAGCTGGCCTGGGAGCTGACAGCTGAGCTGGGCGGTTCGCTGACAGCTGAGATAGGCTGGCCACCGAGCTCGTATGGGCTGGGCTGGGCTGGCCTAGCTTAGTTCAGCTGACTATCGGATTAGCTCAGCTGACTGCTGAGCTGAACCGGGCTTGGCGAGACCGATGATGGGCGGTTTGCGCTGACAAAAATGACCAGATGCAATTCTCTGGAGCAGCTATGTTTTAAGTTACGGAACACCGCGTTATGGCGTCTGCTTGTACTTAGCACTTGTGTTTGTTAAATGCAGTCCTTGACATGCATACTGAAGTTATCCCCGTGTGTGTGCCGCCCCTGCCATTACCATCTGATCCCATCCACACACCGCCGCCGCTCGTGCCCGGTAGGCGCCCTGGGCGAGGTGCCCCACGAGTACCTGCTCGACGAGTTCTCGTTCTACATGTCGGGCGGCCTGCGCAACGTACCGGTGGCCGTCATCTTCCCGTGCGAAGAGGACGTGCGCACCAGCCTGGAGGGCTACGAAGCCGGCTCCTGTCTGCCCTACCGGTGGGGCCAGGACAACAAGCAGCGCTGGCTGTACGAATTCATGTGGTAAGTGTCGGCACCGCGCTAGCCGGTTTGAGATTGACAGAGTGATGCGCACAGAGTGGGGAGCGAGAGAGACAGACAGACAGACAGACAGACAGACAGACAGACAGACAGACAGACAGAGAGACAGAGAGACAGAGAGACAGACAGACAGACAGACAGACAGACAGACAGAGAGACAGAGAGACAGAGAGACAGAGAGACAGACAGACAGACAGACAGACAGACAGACAGACAGACAGACAGACAGACAGACAGACAGACAGACAGACAGACAGACAGACAGACAGACAGACAGACAGACAGACAGACAGACAGACAGACAGACAGACAGACAGAGAGACAGAGAGACAGAGAGACAGAGAGACAGAGAGACAGAGAGACAGAGAGACAGAGAGACAGAGAGAGAGAGAGAGACAGAGAGAGAGAGAGAGAGAGAGAGAGAGAGAGAGAGACAGAGAGAGAGAGAGACAGAGAGAGAGAGAGAGACAGAGAGAGAGAGAGAGAGACAGAGAGAGAGAGAGAGAGAGAGAGAGAGAGAGAGAGAGACAGAGACAGAGACAGAGACAGAGACAGAGACAGAGACAGAGACAGAGAGAGACAGAGACAGAGACAGAGACAGAGACAGAGACAGAGACAGAGACAGAGACAGAGACAGAGACAGAGACAGAGACAGAGACAGAGACAGAGACAGAGACAGAGACAGAGACAGAGACAGAGACAGAGACAGAGACAGAGACAGAGACAGAGACAGAGACAGAGACAGAGACAGAGACAGAGACAGAGACAGAGACAGAGACAGAGACAGAGACAGAGACAGAGACAGAGACAGAGACAGAGACAGAGACAGAGACAGAGACAGAGACAGAGACAGAGACAGAGACAGAGACAGAGACAGAGACAGAGACAGAGACAGAGACAGAGACAGAGACAGAGACAGAGACAGAGACAGAGACAGAGACAGAGACAGAGACAGAGACAGAGACAGAGACAGAGACAGAGACAGAGACAGAGACAGAGACAGAGACAGAGACAGAGACAGAGACAGAGACAGAGACAGAGACAGAGACAGAGACAGAGACAGAGACAGAGACAGAGACAGAGACAGAGACAGAGACAGAGACAGAGACAGAGACAGAGACAGAGACAGAGACAGAGACAGAGACAGAGACAGAGACAGAGACAGAGACAGAGACAGAGACAGAGACAGAGACAGAGACAGAGACAGAGACAGAGACAGAGACAGAGACAGAGACAGAGACAGAGACAGAGACAGAGACAGAGACAGAGACAGAGACAGAGACAGAGACAGAGACAGAGACAGAGACAGAGACAGAGACAGAGACAGAGACAGAGACAGAGACAGAGACAGAGACAGAGACAGAGACAGAGACAGAGACAGAGACAGAGACAGAGACAGAGACAGAGACAGAGACAGAGACAGAGACAGAGACAGAGACAGAGACAGAGACAGAGACAGAGACAGAGACAGAGACAGAGACAGAGACAGAGACAGAGACAGAGACAGAGACAGAGACAGAGACAGAGACAGAGACAGAGACAGAGACAGAGACAGAGACAGAGACAGAGACAGAGACAGAGACAGAGACAGAGACAGAGACAGAGACAGAGACAGAGACAGAGACAGAGACAGAGACAGAGACAGAGACAGAGACAGAGACAGAGACAGAGACAGAGACAGAGACAGAGACAGAGACAGAGACAGAGACAGAGACAGAGACAGAGACAGAGACAGAGACAGAGACAGAGACAGAGACAGAGACAGAGACAGAGACAGAGACAGAGACAGAGACAGAGACAGAGACAGAGACAGAGACAGAGACAGAGACAGAGACAGAGACAGAGACAGAGACAGAGACAGAGACAGAGACAGAGACAGAGACAGAGACAGAGACAGAGACAGAGACAGAGACAGAGACAGAGACAGAGACAGAGACAGAGACAGAGACAGAGACAGAGACAGAGACAGAGACAGAGACAGAGACAGAGACAGAGACAGAGACAGAGACAGAGACAGAGACAGAGACAGAGACAGAGACAGAGATTTACGCCCCTGGGCTTAACCATCACCTGACTGCTGTGTGATTTTTGGCAATAATATTTGGAGAGGCTCTGCGTCCATTATGTTGAATTTATTCAACATCGGAGAGGTCGGTTATAACCGACCCATAGTCATGCTCTAAAACTCATAGTCTGCCATCATGTGTCCCACAGCAAGTGGCGCAGTGAGACGCGGAACCGGACCCGGGCGATGCCGCACATCAAGACGTACACACAGATATCTCCCGACGGCCGGAAGATGGCCTGGTTCCTGCTCGCATCACACAACCTCTCGAGGTCCGCGTGGGGGGTCACGCAGAAACAGGACAAACAGATGTGCTCCCGCTCCTACGAGCTGGGGGTGATGTTCCTGCCCAAGTTCCTGGTGAGTGGCGGGCTGTTGGCTGTTGGCTGGTGGCTGAGCCGCTGATATGGCTCGTGGCTAGTTTCTGGTGGCTAGCTATTCTTCTAGACGGTGGATGGTGTCATGATCAATGTTGGAATTGTGAATTTTGGTCCTGGTCCCGGAGAATAAAATCTGTCCGCAGAACCGGCCAGCTTCTAGAACACTCAACAGGAAAATCATATGTTTGGCCTACTAAATGTGACAGTTGATAAAATGTGTTCTCTCGACGCTATAACTGCATGTTTTAGGCGTAATAATAGCAGTTTTTCATCACACAGGCTGGAAATTTAAGAGATTTCAGCTGCCGGAGTACATATTTGTAAAGGAGAGCAAAATCGTTTGCACCCGACTGGGACCAGTAAAGGGCCTTATTTCCAACATTGGTCATGATGCGCCCCAGCATGACCTGACGCTGGTTGATGTCAATATCAGTTTTTATATTACAGTGACTCATCTTCTTAAGTAAAGATGCGATTGACGTGTGTGGGCTCACACACTTAAGTCGTTGATTGAATTGATATTTCAAAGTCAGTCATTACTTTGTTGTTAATTACGTCATAATGCTATCGTCGCTATAATTTTCCGCGGTGTGTGACCCTCGCCCGTGTATCTGCAGGGCTGTGAGTATCTGTCGGTGCTGACTGGGGACTCGGTGGCACCGGGCGGCATCAGTCTGCCCTACTCTGTCCCGCTGACCGCCTACCAGCCGGGAGAGCAACCCTGGATCATCGACAAAGCTCACAAGAAGCCAGATATATTCGGCACATCCTTAAGTAAGCCAACTTTCGGCTGAGGAGCCCGAACGAGTGGCGTCGGACTGGACGGTGCGGCTACTGAGCCCCACTGGAGTGGGATGGTCGGCGTCCAGCGCAGCTCATGAAGCTCACGCGATTTGTTACTGGAGAGCTGTCTGCGAGAACCGGGCGGAGTATGCAGCCAGAATCCTGGAAATATGCTGGAAGAAGGGGTTGTCTCGAGCTGGGGAATGTCGAAAAAGGTCTCAACATTGCAATTGGAGATGGTCGTGATCCTTCCTTTCTGTTGTGCCTCGTGGAACCTAGCAGTAGAAGTAATCTTGGTAGAAGCTGGATCACGGTTGCAGCAGGATTAGACTGTTGTGCGTCGACAGTTAGACGGTGACGTGATTCAAACTTGTGTGCTGCATTTGCCTGTTCGTGCTCTGATCGACGATTTGCTGCGGAGTGTGAGTAGCTGGCGATTGAGGCATCGTAGGCAGTCGAGTTTCATCGTTTTAAATTACCCTTGAATTGTACACAGGCATTTGTCTTTCAGTCACGTGTGGCTTTTCGCCATGGCGATTTTTGTCGTTTTATTATTTTGGCGATGTCTTGCAACCATTGAATTGTTGATTGCAGGAAGGCTGATGTGGTGCACTTGAATAAATGATTATTTTGTGAACTTCATATTTTAAAATCTTCCAAGAATGAATCGGTTATCATAAGACGGGTCTTGCACGCGATGTTGGAACGGGGAGAGGCGAGGCGCCGACTTTTTCATGGGTTACCAATAATCGCGTGTGTGAACTGCCAAAAGTTATGTAGTTGGCAGATCCGTGTGATCTGCCTTGACCGGGTATTCGTTTCAAGCGTCGTTGTAACAGCAAATGCTGGGTTTACACGTCCTGAAATCAAAGTTTTTTTGCATTGCAAGCCTGCAGGCAACGAAGCAAGATAAGTCATAACAAATTCAAGCGACGGTAAAGTATACATATTTCTTACGGTAGCCCAAGATTCCTTTACTACTCGGTAGCCTGCTATAAAGTATTTGGTAGCAATTTGTCGCACCCATGGCGACGCAGCATATTTACGTCTGGACAACGAGTTGCGTTGGAGAGGCCGGAAATAGTGGCGATTTCAGGACCGCAAGAATGGACCGTCATTGGAATGATTCTTTTTTAAACCGTGCACTGTTTTCGGCCGGAATTTAATAGTTACTACAAAATGTTTTGTGATTACGTTTCCAGCAAGAATTAATGCCATCAGGGCTAAATTTTTACTACTTTTGCATTTTGTCAAGAAGCATATAGTGCTGTTATATTGCAGTTTTAGCGCGTTTGTTACAAAATATGAAGCGAATAAGCGTCAGTGTAATTCATCAGTGTCAGAAATTGACTTGAGGGGAAGCTATGCTAATTGCTTTTGTCCATCCACTAGAAGTTTTTAAATATTTTGCTTTGTGTATTCCAAAAGGAGAGGGAACTATTTTATTTGTGCCTTCATGTCTGAATTGAAGGTAGATCATTAAATTTTAAAGGCAGTTTACAAACAAGCATTTGGTCTTTCTCTATAAGCAGTGGCTAAGAAGAAAAGGTTGATCAATCCTGAAGTTCAGTCATCGTACCTCCACTTGGCAGCAAGATCCCCAAGGACAGAGGATATATTGTGTACCTGTCCTGTAAATCAAAGCATTTTTGTGCTTGCAAAGGCTTAAGTTCTTTGTGGTGTGTTCGGAGTGAGGCTATATGGCCGTTTTTGTTGTATGTTTATGTGGAGATTGAATATAACTGTGACCCTGTGCTTGTTTGTATACTTACTATGGTCAAACAGGGAACAGCACATTCACATAACATACTCACCTAGCACCTAACTCATAGCTGTACGTTGCAGGATCTGTACTTGTTCATGTCTCGAGCATTAACAAAGCACTAAAGTAGCTTAGTAATCATTTCCCACATTTTCTGAGCATCTAACATGACATACAGCAGCATGCAGAGCAGCTTCAGAGAAGAAACACTTTAAATGCACAGACTCACACCAGCCACCCAATGAGCCAGTTCCTCAGTTGACTGTTTCCCTGGATGCAGCTTGGCAAGGTGAGCTAACTATTGGCAAGTTGAAGGTTAGCACTTAGCAGGTAAGATTGAGTTAGGGTGAGTACCTACCTATAACTGGCTGCTACTGCTATGCAGGTCTTGGCCAGGCTGCAAATATGTGTGATGATTGAGGTTAGGTCAGCTGTCAGGTTATTCAGGTATGCTCATTGCTCAGGTCACATTTTTATGGACACTTGGCAACCTAAAAAACTAACATATCCTAATCTAAGCTAACCCGACTAAACCTACACAACTGCTGACTATAGGAACTAAGCACCTACCTACTTGTGCCTACATCTCATACCATGTCAAAGTAGAGTTCCTTGGTGGAAGATTACCCTCAGTACTTTTTATCCCAGCCCTGTGAAGAAAACTAATACTTCTAAGCTCTGAGTCACTGCTGGCCAGCCACAGGCAGAAACGCTGAAACTGAGAGCTTTGCCATTGTATATTGGACCAACAATCACATATCACGAAGGACTATGAACACATTATATGATCACATCGTTGCATGGATTGTCACATTGACAATTTTATAACAATCCTTTTTTCAAGAAATACAGTAATGATTAACTTAAAAATCAACATAAAGTGGATTTAGTGATCCAAGCTTTCTCCTCCAGTAGCAATGGAATGACCGCATGTTTCATTTGCCAGACACTGAGTACCTGATGCACATATTACAATCTGCATAGCATCTAAGCATAGTAAAGCTGCCAAAGTCCATTCATTCTAGATTTTTAACTTGATAGTTAGCACTAATTTATCTTGCTGTTGTAAGTTATCATTCAATATTCATACCAATCCAATACATCAATATGCGCTCATCAGACAACATTTTCTGGCATCAGCATGATCCTGCTCAGCGCGCTCTTCAGTATTGCTCCAAGATCTGCAATATCATAGCTTGTTTTCGGCCAATAAGTTCTTTTAATTTTACTTTTTCTTGCTGATATATGAGCCCGATCAACTTGTGTTTATCAACCAAAATTTCATAACTTCAAGTTCAACTTGATATTGATATTGTTCAGGAGTCAGGACCTCTGTCAGCTTCCTGGATACTTCGGATTGTTTTCAATCACATGCTTTTTAAATATGATATAAGTCAATCTTAAAGGATTCAAAACATCCAACAAAACGACGTACAAGAGTACGGAAACAACCAGATAAACTTAAAAAGCGCCTTGGAACAGAGCCAAGTGGTGCGCTCCATTTGTTTGTTTACAATGATTGTAGTGCTGATGTATTTTTAGGACTCTGAATGTCGGCTTATAAAAAATGAAACGTTTTTACAAAAGTTGTAAGGTGATTAATATTTATCTGAAAGAACTAAAATATTCAAAAGCCAAACACTATGAAATACATGAATCGGAACGAAAAAGTAACCCCAAAATCCAGCCTAAATACCGGCTCCTAAAACTGCAACAAAAGCAGCACTTTTCCCCGCAACTCGTTGTCCAGACGTAAATATGCGGCGACGCAGTGGATCCAATGACTTGCGATGAAAACTGTTCTAAGCTCAGCTGATTGAAAGGCTTGTGAGGATTGTTTCGCTGGTTGCCTAGCAACAACCTATAAAATGGCAAAGATATTTCTAGTTGCTAGGCGACTGCTAGCTAATTTTTCTCAAGCTGTCAATTTAGAACAGGGCAAATGTGATTATGGCCCGAGTTCCGGACGCGTATTTTGAATTCACCATAGGGCTCAGCCATTCCTAGAGGAATTCTAGGCACCTTGGAAAAAAGCGAAATCGCGCTAGGGATTTCAGCCGATCTGGCAGCTCTTCCGATGCCACTGGCGCGCCTTTTAATCCAAAGCGCCTTTTTCGTGTCTCATGTTTGCTCGTTTATTGCGGAGGCCTATATATGCTTCAAGATGCTGGAAAAGGTTGGTGATTAATAAGTATTTCCATTTTAGGTGCATGTTCTTTGCAAGAAATACAGTTGTTGTTGCTGTTGTTGTGGGTTAGGGCGCAAGAAATACAGGTATATGTCAACTTTAGGTCCTAACTATAACTGTGACGCTGTTGATACAAATCTGTAACAGCAAAAAAATTATGTTTTAGGTTACGTTAGGTTGTAAGTTTTAGGTTGCATTGTAGGTTTGTAGGTAGTAGATTGGTAGGTTATAGGTGAAAAGGTAAGGTTAGTTCAGGTTTGATTATGTTTTTCTTTTAGTTACGAGACATATAAGTATCATTTTTGGATTCAGGATGTCAAATAATGGTCGGAAACACTAAATTCAAAATTAACTAATTTTGAAGCGGGGACCTCCATGTGTATCGGCCAAATAATGTAAGAATATGAAAAAAAATTATCCATGAAATCTGCTTAGGACTTAAACTTGACATTTACCCACATGGCTATAGGTATCACCAGCAGAATTATAATCTTTACATAATTTAAAAAAAATGCTGTAAGTGAAGATTATGAGTCGTGTAACCATTGTTACTATATTGATATTAAATATTGAATAGGTACAAGTCCGCCACCAACTTTATGGAACATTCCTTCTTCCAACAGGATCACTTCCAAGTAATCTGGAAGGCTGATGCCAAGTACATCTTGTGCGAGAAGCTTGATATGATTCCTGACCTGGAACCGGTGAGCATCAAATATAGCAATTTGCTTAAAGCAATAGCAATTGCTGATGATGGCAATTTCAATTTGCAGTAACACATATTATATGTAATTGGTTTGAGCCATGTTGCAATCATTTTATAAATGAAAACTTCCATTTTTAAAATGGAACTATCAACTTTCCCCACAGGCTTCGGTAACAAAGTTTTATCAATTGTGAATGACAATATTATTGGTATGAGTGGTGTGTGCGGTGATCTGTATTTGAATATAACGCGTCTTGTCACTAAGTATTTGTCATCTGCATTATAGCTGACTATTACGGTAATACGATCGTGCATTGGTCCCAGACAAGAATACCCCAGTGAGACCTTGCATTATTTCGTTTCAGGAGTTGATGGAGGGCACCACTGTGGCCTACCGATGTCCGGCGTCAAAGGAATCGGCCCTGCAGTGGATTCAGCTGTACCAAGAGGCCGCCAACATCCCCCTGACGACGTACGACTCCATGTCGAATGGCCAAAGGGTGGTGTACTGGGTGAGAGCTTTAGTTTATGAAATACCAGTTTGGGCTCGCCGTGTAAAGCTCGGCAGGGGGGTACTTTTGCCCGAGCACTCGACCTGTGCCCGCCAATGGAAAATTCTGCTGGTGCAGAGCCTCCTGAGGGTTCAGCAAAGACCCGCCGTATGAAAGCCTGTCGGGGTCTACTGACAGAGGGCCCGGCGGCCTGGGCTCGCTGCATGAATCCCCAGCTTGATGCCGCGTACTGAGGACCAGTCATCCAGCCGTCATACCGGGTGTCTCGGAGGACTGGACGGGCACCTACCAGCGGGCCCGCTAGATTTCGGGAGGGTCAGCTGACCCCTTTGTCCCCCTGACTCCTCCCTGGGTGCGCCACTGCACCCAGTAACTTTGACTCTTTTATATCGCAGGAAGGTGCGGGTTAATGAAACACCATGATCAGGGTCAGTTAAAAAGGTAACGTTTTTAAATCGAGAAACTTTCA